TACGCATTCGCAACGTGGCTTGTGCTCTGGTCAACGAGAAATGAGTCCCCGAACCAACACACGGCCCATCTGCCCGTCGCGTGCTCCGCCGTCGCATTCGCAGCGACCGACAGTCCGGTACCAAGGTAAGTAGTTAGGGAGGGACCAATGTGTCGGTAGGCTCCCTGAGCCATCCTTTCCCAGTTTCCAAGCGGCCGGGCGGGCACAGAGCGCAGTTGGTGCCAACAGCTCGTGCTGTCCGTTGGTGGAGGCGGAGAGAGGGTCACGAAACACGATAGACGCGTGGCGTAGCATGGCAGTTGCTTGATGGGAAAGAGGGGAGGGAAGAGGTTGGGGTCTTTGGAAGGGGGGGGCAGCAGGGGGGAGAGGGGATGGTGGACCGACAAGAGAAAACCCGAGTGCGATGTGTGAGCGCGACCCAAGCAGACGAGCACGGTGGCTGCAGAAAAAAAGGCCACGACGGACGGCCGGGAAACGAGCTAGTCTGTGACGAGGTAGAGGACAAGACTTTCCATGAGAATGGGCAGAGATGAGCATGCCGAAGGGATAGGGTGACCCTTGCTGCTCGCTCTGGTTCTGGGATCATGTTGTACTTGATGCTTGCTCGAAAGGCTACTACTGCAAAGAACATTTGCAGTTTTAGGGGAAAGAGCAGCGTGGTCGTGGGATTGACGGCCGAGCCATGTGGCCTACCTAGGAAAAATTCCCAAATGCAACGACGAATCCGACAGACGACCAAGGCAAGGACCCGCCCGCATCTTTCGTGGAGGTCGCGCCGCTTGTTGAACGGGGGAGGACCAACCCCCTGTTGCATAAGCGCCAGCGCCAAGTGGGAGCTTGTGGTCCACTGACGCCAGGGGAGGGGGGAGGGGGGGGGCTAGCATCGCCAGCGAACACCCCCCCGACCAGAAGGTCTCGAAGAGGGTCGGAAGGGAAAGAACACATTGGCCCCCTTCTTAGCGGGATCGGCCGCATGATGTGATGAGGTTTCATTCCCCCCTCTGCACGTTGTTCACCGGGCACGCAGGTAGTCAGGTAGATAGGGCAGAGCGGTACAAGATCGAAGGATTCCCTTCCCGTGTGCCGCATGCCAAACGACAAGATGAACACGGTTGTTGACAAGGTCGAGGGCCTCTGCGGCTCTGTGTCTCCTGCTGTACGATTGATGCATGAGGTCTCATGTTGACACTGCTTCTCTTTCGTCACTAGAGCAGCCATTGC